AATTTAAACACCTCCAAACACTAATTTTAATACCATTTATTACCATTCTTATCACACTACTCTTCCCACCCTCCCAATTTAAACACCTCCAAAATTTTCAAACGCTGCGCTCGCGGGACTGAGTCGGGCCTACGTGTTGAATCCCACCGCCTATATACACGCTTTTTTATTCTTGTCCGAGCGGCTTCTCATTTTATATCGCATTACGTCTCGTCGTTATTTCATCGCACTACGTATCGTTTTGACATCTTATTAAAGCATCATTTATATTTCATTATTACTACCACGTCTCTACTGCGTATACAAGATCCATGTTACCAATTACAGCTCCGGTGCAGAGATACCTCCCACCCTTCCATACGTCGCTACCCAAGTCACGCATCATACTCTTCATGCACTCGTTGCGTAAATTGTATTTTAAAGACCAAAACATTTTTATATCCACTCCCTTTACATTAGTCTCTTTCATCACGAATATAGGCGTCTAGACAATAAATAATAAATAGCCAAATACATCGAGACGCTTATAAGGTACCTTTACTTCTCTTGAAATCATTATTCGAGATCAAATGCAATACGCAAATATATCGTGAAAAATATTATGCAAAAATACTTTTATCCGATAGCGTTATCTCAAAGTATCATCAGAAAGCATTCTTCGATAGTATTATTCAAAAAATATTATCCGAAATTTTTATATAAATATTGTACATATATGTTGCAGCAATAATAAATTACTATACGGATACGTGCCAAGGAGAGGCTCTGCCTGCAAAGCCTGGTCTAAGCTATTGCATACATTTGGCTGTGCGAAGAAGTCCGGCACCGGAGCTCCGGTACCAGGTGTCAGGCTTCCTTTAAAATGTTGGCTAGCTAATTAGTGCCACATACTTTCGGTGCACACAGAGCATTTATACACAGCTCAAAAATGTCTTCAGGTTCAATACTGACTCCGTGAAAAAAATGCTTCGTCAAAACGAGTGCGCTACTATAGTAATCAAGAGAAAGACATACATACGCTTATATCGTACACACTTTGGGACACAGACGCAGTTTAAATACTCACACAGTTGAGGAACATAGATGACATAAATACTTCATGAAGTTCAATCCTTTGAATTTCAGCATTGCTTAAAGCCTGCCTTGGAGTTCTAATGCACGCTCTGGATACATACAACTATCCGGATTTCTCCATTGGAGCTCTTATGCAGGATACAAATACTTAACATTATTCTTACGGTTTTTACTCGATAATTATCAATATTCTGACGATGTTTTACTCTATGATTATCATTATTCTTACGCAAAAATTATATTCCTGACGCACTCCATTTCAAACGCAAATCATCTATTTACAAATCTCAACGCAAATGCTTTGCGAACTTTCATGCAATAGACCATGCTTTAATAGTTTGCAGGCACCTCGTGCAATCGTGTCTTGCAAAAATGTCTTGCAAAAAATATTATCTGAAAATATCATCAGGAAATATCATCCGAAAATATCATCCGAAAATATTATTTGAAAATTTAATCCAAAAATATTATTTGAACATTGTACCTATATTCTACATATATTGTACAGCAGATACAATTTTACTATACAGATACGTGCCACGCAGAGGCTCTGCCTGCAAAGCCTGGTCTAAGCAATTGCATATATAGCACGGTGCGAAGAAGTCATGCATCAGAGCCCCGTGCCATGCGAATTTGGATACGTTGGCTATCTAGGCAGTGCCAGGTACTTTCTGTGCACACATAGCGTTAATACACAACTATACAAGGTCCACAGCTGCATTACCGACTCCATAAAAGATTTGATAACATCCACACCACCAACCGTTGGATGTGCGCTCACATCCAAACCATGTGACTTTGGCTGTGTACTTACATTCATATCATCTTACATTGGATGCGCGCTCACATCCATACCATCTGACATTGGATGTGCGCTCACATCCCGAAAAACCATCTGATTTCAGTCGTGACAACCAGAAACACGTGGCATAATCAGTAAATGACAATTTTCTCCATAACTAGAGGAGATCCGGGGGAGATATTTCCCAGACACATGCGGACTGCTCTTGTGCATCCGATGAACCAAGCGGCGTCTCCTGGATCGTCCTAGTTTGCGATAGCCCACACTTATACCCTCCCACCCTCCCACCCC